TATATTTATGAATACCAGACTGTGGCAGATATAAAGAAGGGTAGGGCCTCACCTTTTTTCTCGAGGAACTCCCAGCATGTTGATGGGGGCAGGCATGTGAACAAAGAATTGTGATTCAAGGTGATAAGGAGCAAATTCAAGGTACAATGGTGTTAAATGGTGATAGTAAGCAACTTTCTCTGTGGGAGTGAAATGCTTCATAGAGGAAGTGACAGTGGTTGTTGAGCTGAGTCTTGAAGTGGGGACAGAGCATTCAGGCAGAAGATGCACAGTTGATGTGGACTGTACCTACTTTGGGCTTGCTGGAATACAATGTGCCAGACAGAAATTGAGGGTAATGAGACTGGAATGATAGGTAGTCAGTGGGCCACTTTATCAGGCAGAGAGGAATTTGAGGCTGTGAAGAAAGGACAGAGCTGATAACTCATGGCAAGGAGATAAATAGGGGATTCTGGTGCAGTAGCTATAGAATTGAAAGACACTGGGGAAAGGAAGCAGCTGAATAATTGAAATATGTTTAGGAGAAAGATTTGGGAAGGCTCACCAATTTGCCATGGGGGTGAAGTGAGGGAATGACACAGGAATTCCATGTTTCTACTTTGCCAGGTAGACTGGATCGTGGTGGAATTTACTGCAATTGGAAATCTCCAAAGAGAGGCAGATTTAGAGGATGCATCATGAGTTTAGTCCAGACTACGTTGGCCTTTAGGTATATATGAGACACCCAAGAAGAGATTTCTAGTAGGCAGTTGTACAGATGGATCTAGAACTCAAGAAATAACATGTTATAAGTGTGAACACTAGCACCCAGGGAGAGCTCAATTCTAAGAAAGGACTGTGTTAAGTCTGAATTCTTACTTGCTGAGATGTTATTAGCTGTATGGTATCAGGGGAGTAACTTTGAATCTGTTTCCTCATTTTTAATGAGGACTCCAATTTGTAGACTTGTGAGAGTTTGAGATTAAAAAAAAAATCCAATCGATGGAAGTTATAAGAGGAGCAGGAAAGGCACCCTGGGAGACACCATTAAACCTGAATTTCATTCATCTGCTTCCTAAAGGTGTCAGGAGGAGCCATTTGCTAAGTTGCTGCCTCTGACTGTCTTTCTTGTCATCTAAGTTATCAGTTGCTTAATTTCTCTGAGTCTCAGCTTTCTCTTTGTAAAACAGAGACCATAACAACTCTTCTGGTTATCTTAGAAAGTTCTTTTGAAAAATCAGTGAGATAAGGTTTGTGTGAACATTGCAAACTGTCATATAAATGCTTGTTATTATCATTACGAATGGAACAAACAGACTTGCACAATTCATCAGCATTTTTCAGGCTGTTAGGGAAACAGACTGAAGGCGGCCCCTTTCCCCGGTGAATTAAGAGGAACTCCTCATGCTGAGAGTAAAGGCTGGGAGGGCTGTGACCCCCCACAGCCTGACTGCACTGAAGAAGCTGAAAGAGAAGATTGTCCCCTTAGACCAGCCTAAAACAGAATAACTAAATTTACATATGTATATTTCCTGTCTTTTTGTCTCACCTCACTGCCTCTTCTTTAAAAGTTCTGCTCCTAACTGATGATAAAAACTAAGGTATCTTAGTTTCCTGGGCCTCCAAAGATGATAAATCTGATTATCCTCATATATGAACTTAAAATATGGAAAATGTTAAGGACAGCAAATGGTTTGTAACTTTGTAAATACTTAAAATACGGTGTATCTTTTTTTGCTTATGAACATTCTGTAGTATAACCATTGTTTCTGTAGTTTAATTAAAATGTTTTCTTGGTGTTAAAAAAAGTTCTGTTCAACTTCGGGAATTTCAGAGAATGAATCTTTGAAACAACTTTCTTCCATCTTCCTTCAAAACTGGCTTTGAATAAAGTCTATTTTCCTATCAAATTGATTCTGAATATTTCTGGAGCAGAGAGCATTATGGACTAGCTTCTTCCTCTCCAGGCAGGATCTTGTACCACCCCATAACTGTACAGCTCTGGAGTGTCAGTTAGCATGAATACTAAAGAATGTTTTAATTAGTGAGAGAGGTAGAAGCCAGGGTTGCTGACTCTCAGCTATACTTATGCTAATCATCGTGTGAGGCTCTTATCCACTTGGGATTTACCTTCCAACAGAGTAGTGATTGTGGGTGCAGGGTAAGAGAGGTGGCAGCAGGAAGTAGAATTGTGGATTGGAATTGGGATACCACCTGGGACTTGGGGTCCCTCTTTGGTTTCTTCTTATCTCCTCTGCCATCCCCACAATGGGGAAGTAAAAAGACAACTCTGCCCTTAGTGGTGTGATCTCAACTCCTCTAGAATTTCAAATTTTATCTCCAGATGGAGAAAGATAACCCACCTGTGTAAACAGTAGCATTAGCACAAAGCATGCTTGTACCCAGAAGCCCCTTAATAGATGTTAGTTCACTGGGCAGACCAGATATTCAAAATGGAAAAGGACAGTAGCATTCACTGGCGGAGGCAACTCCAGGCCCAAACTAGTCCACAATTGGAGATGGACTAGGCCAGATTCTGATCTAGGGGCAAGGATGGAAAAGGTTAATAACTCAGCTCCTGATGAAGTTGCTTTTACTTTTATTTTCTCCTAAAGCAGCTAATAAGGCATGCAAATGCTGTAAAGAATGCAGGGAAAAAAGGAAAAAAAAAAAAAGAATGCAGGGATGTATATGCAGCTTCCCATCATGTGTTTCACTTCTTAGTGATCTTGGCAACCTGAAAACAATGAAATGTCCCTTAGACCAGAGGAGCCCAGAGTTGTGGACCCATTGTCTTTTAATTCAAGGGTGTCAGCATCCAGAAACAACTCATACAATCAAATAAGGCAGTGGTCTGGCATACAATAAGCCCTCTCCATCAGGTCTAAGACCCAGATCTGATCCCTGAAATTCTTGCTAGGGCACCATAGGGCAATTGCATCTTATCTGTGCTTGCACTAGGAGTTTTCCATTTATGTTGACTTACAGGCATTCCACAGCAGACGTGGCCATGACATATATATATATATATATATATATATATATATATATATATATATATACGCGTAAGGGTAAGTTGTAGATCTCTGTCTCCTTCTTTCCTTCCTCCCACCCTCTCTCCCCTCTCTCCTTTCCTTCTTTCCATTTTTAAAAAGGCTTTTCCAGAATAGTTTTATTTTTACAGAAAAATTGATCTGAAGGTACAAATAGTTCCCATATACTTCACTCCCTGCCCCCCACCCAGCTCATATTTTCTTCTATTATTACCATTTTATATTAGTATGGTACATCTGTTAAAATCAATAAATCAATTTTAATATATTACAATATATCAAAGCCCATTGCTTATTCAAACTTCCTTGGTTTCCCTAATGTTCTTTTTCTGTTTCAGGATCCTATCCAAGATACCATGTTACATTTAGTTGTCATGTCTCCATAGGCTCCTCTTAGTTGTGACAGTTTCTCAGACTTTTCTTGGTTTTGAAGACCTTGACAGATTTACGGAGTACCAGTCAGATATTTTATAAAATGCCCTTCTAGTGGTATTTTTCTAATGCTTTTCTCATGATTGTACTGGGGTTACAGGTTTGGGGGAGGAAGTCTACAGAAACCTAGTACCATTTTCATCACATCATATGAAGGGCACATACTATGAAGATGATTTATGACTTTTGATGTTAACTTTGATTACTTGGCTGAAGTAGTACTTGTCAGTTTTGTCTACTTTAAACCTATCATTTTTTCCCTTCTTTCCATTCTGTATTCTTTGGAAAGAAGTCACTTTGTGAAACCCACAATTAAGGAGTTCCACTTCTTTTTTGGTGGAGTGTCTGCAAAATTTGGAATTCTTCTGTGTGGGAGATTTGTTTCTTCATCCCCATTTATTAAATCATTATTTATAGCAATATCTACTAATAGATATTTATTCTATACTTTGTGTTCTAAATTCAATCATACTTCAGTTATTTTTCTGTTTAAACTGTTCCATCTTTGACCATTGGGAACTCCTTCAGTTGGTGCCTATGTTACTTTGACATGTACACATTTTTTATTTGTGTGTGTGCATGTATGTGTGGGTTTGTGTGTGTAGAGCATTTTCTGACTTTTGGGCACTACATGTCTCTTTTTTATTTTTATTTTTTGGTACTGGGGATTGAAACCAGGTGTGCTTAACCACTGAGCCACATTTCCAGCCCTTTTTATTTTTTAAGACAGGGTCGTGCTAAGTTGCTGAGGGCCTCACTGAGTTACTGAGGCTGACTTTGAACTTGCAATTCTCCTGCCTCAGCCTCCTGAGCCACTGGGATTACAGGCATGTGCCATCGTACCTGGCCTACATATTTCTTTCTTTCTTTTTTTTTTTTTTAAAGATTTGTTGTTGTTGTTGTTTAATACCTTTATTTTTATTTATTTATTTTTATGTGATGCTGAGTATTGAACATAGGGCCTCACACATGCTAGGCAAGCACTCTACCGCTGAGCCCCAGTCCCAGCCCTACATATCTCTTTAAAAAAATTATTATTAATTTAGTCATTCAGTGTGAGTACACTGTGTACCACACAGAGAGAATTGGCAAAAGCAGAACCTGGCACCTTGCCTTCAAGAACTCTCATTACAGGTAGCAGAAGGGAGGACAGACATGCAAGAAAAGAGATCAAGACAAGCAAGTGTGGTGAGAACTTTGGCAGAGGGAAGAAGCTCAGGATGCCCAACTTAGTTCTAGGTACCCTCCCTCCTTCCTTGCCTCCTCTAAGTATAATTTTTCAAAATAGTTTCTGATTGTATTTCAGTAGTGTCCATTGTGATATTTCCTTTTTTTTCAATATGTATTTTTTTAGTTGTAGGTGGACACAATACCTTTATTTTATTTTTATGTGGTGCTGAGGATTGAACCCAACACCTCACACATGCCAGGCAAGTGCTCTACCACTGAGCCCCAGCCCCAGCCCCAGCCCTGATTTTTTAAAAAAAAAATTTTAGTTGTAGATAGACACAATATCCTTATTTTTATTTATTTTTATGTGGTGCTGAGAATTGAACCCAGGGCCTCATGTGTGCGAGGCATGCACTCTACCACTGAGCTACAACCACAGCCCCTAATATTTCCTTTTTTATCATGAATTTTAATAATTTGAGTTTACTCTCTCTCTGTTAGTGTGGCTAAGAGTTTATCAATTTTATTTATTTTTTCAAAGAAGCAATTTTTTGTTTTGTTGATTTTTTGGATTGTTTCTTTTGTTTCTGTTTCACCTCTGACTTTAATTATTTCCTGTCTTTTACTACTTTTGGTATTGATTCATCCTTCTTTTTCTAGGGCCTTGAGATGTAAGTTAGGTTATTTACTTATTGACTTTCTATTCTTTTAATGAGTGAACTCAATGCAATGAACTATTCTCTTAGCACTGCCTTCATAACTGCCTTCATTTGATATGTTGTATCATTATTCTCCTTCACCTTTAAGTATTTTTTTAAAATTTCATCCCCGATTTCTTCTTCAATCCTTTTGTCATTTAAAAGCATATTATTTAGTCTCCTGGTGTTAGAGTAGCTTCTATATTTTACTTTATTGTTGATTTCTAATTTCATTCCATTATAATCTGATAGCAAATACAAAAAATAGAGATAATACCTTGCATTCTAAGAGTTGCTTGGTAGCCTAAGATATGGTCTATTTTAGAGAAGGATCCATGTGCTGCTGAGAAGAAAGTGTATTCAGTCATTGATGAATGAAATATTATATGTATTTCAATTCAGTCTAAATTACTAATGGTATTTTTTAGTTTTATAGTTTATTTAGTTTTTGTTTGGAGGATCTCTGCAGTGGTGAGAGAGGTGTGTTAAAGTCATACAGTATTATTGTGGTCTATTTGATTCTTGAAGTTGAGAAGGGTTTGTTTTATGTATGTAGATGCTCCATAGTTTGGGGCATAAATATTTACAATTATTATGTCTTGTTGATGTATAATTACCTTAAGCAGTATGAAATGACATTCTGGTCCCTTCTGATGAACTTTAGCTTGAAGTTCACTTTATCTGATATGAGGATAGAAACCCCTGATTGTTTGCAAGATCCTATGAATGATATGGTTTTTTCCTCATCCTTTTACCTTTAGTCTGTGGCTATCTTTGCCTATGAGGTAAGTCTCTTGGAGACAGCATATTGTTGGGTCCTGTTTTATAATCCACTCTACCAGTCTATGTCTTTTTTTAAAAAAAAAATTTGTTGATGGACCTTTATTTTATTTATTTGTATGTGGTGCTGAGAATCGAACCCAGTGCCTCATGCATGCTAGGCAAGTGTGTTACCACTGATCCACAACACCAGTCCCCAGTCTATGTCTTTTGATGGATTAGTTTAGGGCATTTACATTCAATGTTATTATTGAAATATGATTTTCATTGCCTGTCGTTTTGACTTATTTCTTGTTTTTAATTTGAATTAGTTTCTCCATTGATTGACTATTCTTCTAGTGTAGTTCCACCCTTTGCTGGCTTTAAAATAATAACAGGGCTGGGATTGTGGCTCAGTGGTAGAGTGCTTGTCTAGCACACGTGAGGCCCTGGGTTCGATCTTCAGCAACACATAAAAATGAAGTAAAGATATTGTGTTCACTTACAACTAAAAAAAATAAATAAAATAATAATAGCCAATGCAAACAATATGCAGCATTAAGCCAAATAGTTCCTGCTATGACGTCTACAATGTTGTCACGATAAACAGAAATGATGTGATTAGTTATTGCCTACAAGAAAAAAAAAACAATAAGTTTGCAATTGTTTGGTGGACAGGAGAGAACAGAAGTGATGTAGGATGTGATGATTATGAGGGAGGAGGAGAGAGGTTAGAAGTAAAATTAAAAGGAAGAGTGAAAGAAAGAGATTGGCTGTTAGCAGAAGAAAAGAAAGATTCCAGGGAAACAGATAAGTGAGTAGGGAGAGGAAAAGAAAGAAACATGTCCATTTTAAAAATAAGTTGCAGTGGCAGAGCAGCAAGGGCCACATTCAAAGCATAAAGTGAACCACTGTTATAGTTTCACACTGTGAAACAGTCAGGAAAGTGACCTGCTCTATTCTGCCACCTTGAAACCTCCCTCCTCTAAGCATTCTTGACTGGGTCTTTTAGGAGAAGCTTCAGATGCACACCTTGGTCTACTTTCTCTGTCTTCCCTTGGTCTCTGTTTGATCCTTTCACTTTTCTATGTCTGGTGGTACAGGAGAAAGAACAAGTCAGCCACTACTGATAAATATTAATTATAATCAATGTTGATATTTAACATAGGCAAGATGGCTCCTGGCTATAGCAAAGGAGGATGATGGCAGCCCTTTTTTTTTCCTCTTCTAGGGTTGAAAAGATTTTTTAAAAAATATGTTTATTGGTGCATTATAATTATACATATTAGTTAGACTTGTTGTTGCATATTCGTACTTAAACACAACATAATTTAATCAACTTTACTTTCCAGAACCTTCCCTTTTCCTTCCTTCCTCTGGTCTCCTTCCTCTACTTTAATGTTCTCCTGTCTATTTTTGTAAGATTCCCCCAACCACCCCTTTCCCTCAGCTTGATGGCAGTCCTTTCTCAGCCCTTTTCAGGTCCTGCTGGCACAGAGCAGGGAATGGTTATGGCAAATAGGAAGGGAAAATGAGTGAGAAGTGCACTAGCAGGAATATGATTTTATTCCCTTCCAACCTGCAGCCTTATTGAATCTCAGTCTCAGGAAACTGCACTCTTAGTGCCTGGCTTCACTTTTCCAAAGCCTGGCTCATGGTCAACTTTCGGTTAATCAACATCTGAGCAGCAATTATTTTTAGATTGTTCACTATATGTTCTGCTACTCAGTGTTATGTGATCATGTAATGAAATCCATGCCCTAGTGCATTAACTAACCTTTTGAAAAAAGCTTTCAATAGTATCTCTCTGGGCCTCCTCCTTCACAAAGAGCTGGCAAAATGCTCCTGAACTTGAGTGCTAAATGTTGAACCATTAAGAATGCTGGTGAAAGCTATGAAGTCATCAAGTATTGACCTGAGAGAACATTTAGCACCATCTGATTCTCCATCCTGACATCAACATGAAACGGACCTTACATGCCAATGAATCACTTTCCCTATTTAAGTTCACAGGGTTTGTCTAAAATAGCTCCCCTGGTACAAAATAGAAATTCAGCTTAGGGATTATAATGGTGAGTGGTAGATTTAAGTTCTATGCTTTGATCATATGGAAAAGAAGGTTTACTAAAATTAGATTATTTTTGGTGGGGGAGGGATGATGGTGGGAGGTGCCTTTTTAGTCACAGAAGCCCATAGAAAATTATAGATTCAATCCATTTATGTTTCCTTAATATTCTGTGTTTTCCAACTGTAGTGCAAAGAGCTATTTAGGATGTAATTTCTAGCCATATGTGTCAATTTAGTTGGTGTTGCATTGATGTCAGCTCCCCACCCTTCAGTCCTTCCCATTTCAGTATACCCCAGTCTGACCTCTAACTACATCACCTGTGGGTTTTTTTTTTCCAAGAGAGCTCTGATTTTGTAGGCCAGAAGTGTCACAAGCTTTTGTCACAAGCTGCCATCCAAGTGGCAGTTTCAACAACAAACACCCTAAGATGATGCAATGCATATAGCATAATATAAAACATTTTTAGAAACTCTGCTCTGAGAATTTTATGATTATTAAATGTAAGGTTATTAGTGTTCTTTTTTAATTGGTCTGTCATTTTCTCTAGCTTTGCATTTTCCTTGAGTTTTATGACTATTTCCTCCAGGGTCCAAGCTGTGGTGGTGGGGGGGAAGCCAGATCATACCCAATTAGATCTTCCTACAAAGTCAGAGTGTATGAAGGAGACTTGGAGGCTAATGGGACCATCCCTGAAAGAGTTGTTTCAAGGAAGTACCATAAGTGGAGGAAGAAAAAAACACCAAGAGTGAAATAGGATTGCTAAGTGTTGGAGTAGTAGGTGGTTGGGTCACAAACTAGATGTGCTAAGCCAAAATAAAATCAAAGAGGCAAAGGAATGAACTGAGGGTGGAATGAGATAGAAGGCCTGTTTAGGATGAATCACTTAAATGCCAGAAGTTCCTTGATGTTCTTTGCTGGGCTGGGCTGGGCTGGGCTGGGGATAGACCAGCATAGAGGACCCTTATAACAGACTAAATGAGATTATGGTGCACACACATTAATGTGCTTGCATGTACATATGCGCATGCACATACATACAATTGAAGGCATTGGATATTAAGAGAACTTTGTGGGGATAGGAAAGATAGGAGAATGAAACAGACATTATTACTTTATGTATATATGTGACTTCATGACTGATGATTCTACAACATGTACACTGAGAAAAATGAGAAATTATATCCCATGTATGTATAACATATCAAATTACATAAGTGCATTCTACTGTCATGTATAACTAAATTAAAACAAATAAAAAATTAAGAAGGTAAGAAAAGACAACTTTGAAGAAGACATCATGGGGAAAAATAGAATGATGGTAGACTCCATTATACTTATTTTCTGTTTTTTTTTCTGGTTTAGTGTTATTTTATTCGATATTATTTGTCTTTTCAGGGCTTAGTGCCTCTGATGTTCTTAAACTGGCCCTGGAACACACCTTCAAAATGCTCAGCAGGCAGCAATCATTTACCCATCAGAGTGTCCTTTGTCTTGAATCCAATCTGGAGTGTACATTCTAGCCTGTGAGCTGATTTTTATTTCTGTTACTAAGGTTCCCAAGTGAATACCAACTCATTTTACTAAGATACTATCCCCGACAAGCCTTCCCCAGGCCTCTTTCCTTGAAGGAGCTGGCCTATCCCCTAGTGCCTCCAGCTACTGGCTGGTATTGGAATCTTGTTAGATTCCACTGAAATCAAGATGGTGTCACTCTTATCAAATCTTGCCCTGAGCCTTCTGCTCTTGGACTCCTTCCCAGTAGATTATCAGATAACCTTGACTGTTGGAGCCAGCTGGACAGGCCTTGGAACATTTCAATATAGATTGCTATTCATATTTCTTGGGACTAGCCCATAGAACACTCATAATATTTGCTGCAAGATACCAGCATGCTTTACTGCTGAGCCTGCAT